TTGCAGGCAGGGGCTCTCAGAAAAGCGCAAGAAGCCCAGAATCGCGCCGAACTCGGCACCGAACTGACCCCCCCCCAACCCCCCCCCAACCCCCTCCGCACCACTCTGGCATCATGCATGTCAGGAAATTTGAGGCTCTGCCTTCTGTGGAAAGCAGCGGAAAGCAGGGGACAGCAGCTCCCCCGTAGAACGGCAAAGCCGTGAGAAACCCGTGCTTTCCTACGGGAGAAAGGAAAGGGGGCGCAAACCATCGCAAACTCACGCGCTCAGCCGTTTCGAAGCCTCTGTCGAGGCTCTCGAGGCTCTCGAGGCTGAGGCTCAAGCTCGGGAACTGAGATTCGGATCTGCTCCGGCTTTGGTTCCAAGGTTTCAAGGTCGCCTGGCAGCTTTCGGTCCCGTCTGAGATGTTTCTTTTTGGCCCCTTCGACCGCTTGTGGTGTAAAAAGCGTGCTTAAAGTTCATCCCGGAACTGCGCGAGCAAGCCACTTTCGATTCAAAAAACGCTCCTCCTCCACCCATGGTGTGCAGCCTCAGCGAAGAGTGGCTGCGAAGAGTGGCTGGTTCTGTGGTCGCCAGTTTGGGCTAGCACGGAGGCCCCATATTCCCTTCAGGGGCATGCAAAATGACAGCAGGGTGAGAGCTTCCAGAGTGGCAGCACAATAGCTCTTCCCCTCCAGCCCTCACCCTCGACCTGCACATTGCCCGTCTCACCATTTGGAGTTAACCTTGCTCTGCGAGTGTCAGGCTGTAGATTCACTGGAGCAACTGCCCTAGCGATACGCATCGGACATCGCCCTCGCGTGAATATTGGCCAGAACAGCTAAGAAGGCTTTCAGCTCCAGTGTCGCTTAGGCACCTCACCATAAGAAATCGGAACCGATGACAAGGGGAAGTGGCACATTTGCCAGCAAAAGGAACCCTAATCGTAGAGAGAAGACAGGCTTGCTGATCACCTTCTTACAGACATGCCCCGACCTGCATGCTCCTTCAACCCGCCATTTTGTGGGGGTTTGCTCCGCTGACCAAGCGGGCACGGGTTGCGATGTGGCTACACTCTCTTCCTTTCGGCCTTGCCAGCGGCCCAGCGGCCCATAGCTTTGATTGCAGCTTCCGAAAGCCATGACCTGCTTATGGGCTGGTATAATTCCAAAGTGAGTCGTGACAAGGGTACCACCCCATACAAGCAGCAGACCTAGAACGTCGCCTTCAACCGGTCTCCGGGCCGATGCATAAGGACGTTCAACGGAGTTTCGGCAGTTCTGTCTCTCGCAGCACCATCTTCTTTGCGGCTTTGCGAGGGCCGTCCGCTTCAATCCCACCACTGAGCCTGGGCCCAGGCGAGCCGTCCCACAAGACATGCGCGCAGGGCCTGCAGAGTAAAGGTGCATCACTGCACATTCGTTTTTCGAAGTTTCAAGCGTGGCACTGACGACGTGAGGTTACTGTGCCAGAACTTCAGTGTGTCTTCAAAGGGTGGTGACATTTGAGGCCGTTTCATCTGCAACTGCTCATGGAGGCATCACTGAAGAATACCCCGCTTCGATGACTTCGGTTGCACGCTAGGACGCTAGGTCCAAGATGCTGCGGTCCAAAGCAAAGCCCGAGTTCGCTTGACCTACACGCCGTCTACATGTCATCTACATGTCACCGTCTTTGTTGAACATTCTGCAGGCTTTGTCGCGCGGGTCTGAAACACACCGTGGCTCCCACACACTTCTTGAGTGTGCGGGACCCATTGTGACAGCGCAGATGGGTCCAGGAGACGTCTGCATGTGGGCAGCCCCGTGGGCAATGTTTCTGCAGATCGGTGGGCAGAAACGTCCTATCCGAGCTACCCCAAGAATACGTCTGGACCTAATTTGCCGCACATCCGCAAGCCCACATTCTCCGCCACATGCACCTTGCATCAGTGTCCACGCCAAGCCTTCTTTCACGACAGCTGCAACAATGTTTCTGCTGCAATGCCAAGATGAGATGGCTCTGGCCCGCAAACGCACCAAGGAAGGCAACACTGACCCAGATGGCAAACTCGTCATTTTCGCTGCTTTCGCCTGTGCCACTGTCCTCTAGCTTTCGAACACGTAGGCGAGACAACGTCCAGTGCTGCAGTACGTCAGAGCCGTTGTCTTTCCCCGCACTTTTGCTCATCAGCAAGTCCTTCTTGGGCCATCGTTGTGCATCCTCACACACGTTTACCAAGGAGAGGGTTGCGATAACGCGTGATGGATGTCTCAAACTTCACTGTGAAGTCATGGGAATGACCTACGGCAGCAATGACAACAGCTGGTCGAGCTGCGACAACCAGTGCAGCTTTGGTGGGCCGCTAGCAGTAACACTGGAAGTCTGCAACCACCGCCCTGGTACCGCTGTGACAGTTCTATGAAGCTGGCATGACAAAGCACGTTCCCACCTTCCGAGGATGTCAAATGTTGGCCATCCATCTGCGTGGCCCTTGCAATACACATTTCCAGAGAACCTTTCGGCCAAGCGCGACATTCGCGACTGTCTTCAGTGGGAGACGTCTGGCTAGTGTTGCGCCAGAAGTGTTGGTAAGCTTCTTCTGCTTTGCGGTTCGAGAATGCAATCTAGGCAGATTCACTGACAAGCCAGATTGGAGCCTGCGAAGATGCTCGTTTGCCTCGGAACCGATGAACGGCACACCAATAGTCAAATCGAGCGGACAACTATGCCCCGGATTATGCCGGCAGCCTGCAGTTGCGCAAGGATGCCTCGCTGCTTCTCCTTCTTTGCAGCACATCCGGAGGCATCTTCAATCCTCCCTGTGTGTTCTCCGAGGCACAGTCTAGGCAGTGTAGGGGGGGTAGGGGGCCTCCCATCTGTTTGAATGTAGCACTCATGCTCATGGCACGAACAGGGTCAGGCTCAGATACCTTGCGCAGACGAAGCAGGCAACTGCCAATGCTTTGTTCTCAGTGTTTGCCGTGCTGTCGGGCCTGATTTTTCTTGTCTGCAGGTCTGGCCAACAAAGGCAGTTCCTCGGTGATGAAATTCCAGATGTGTTCTGTGCCAAGGGCCAATCCTCCGACCTTGAGCTGAACTTCACGTATCATCCTGCAAAGTCTCAGATCCCAAGCGTCCCAAGGTCCCCAAGGTCCCCAAGGTCCCCTAAAACGCCGAATGTCCAGCGAGCCACGTTTGCCGGGGCCAGAAGATTGTGAGATCGGTTTGCGTAATCGCATGGAGCCAGTGAGAGCATCCTATTGCCACAACAGACCCCCTTCACGCAGGCTGTCCCAGGTTCAACTTCATTGTGCAAGTACGTTTTGTTCCAATCTTGCCTATCGGACGGATTCCGTTCGAGAAAGATGCAGATTCGTCAGCTGCACCAGTGGCATTTGCGAGAGCGAGTCGAAGCAGCTCAGTGATCTTTGCGTACTTTCTTTGATTGAGATTATCACATTGTCGGTTCTGGGTGTGTCTCGATTCTCCGCAAGCACGCAAGCGGTTACCCACATGTTCGCTGACTTCCCTTTGCCTCAAAGCTAGCTTCTTATCAACGGCGTCCCGCGTTTCTCGAAAGAGCGGAAGCAATTAGGCAGGGGCCCAGGCCAGCGCAGACTGGGGCAATTGTCTCCCAAAGGCTTGCCAAAACACATATGGACACATATGGACCCGTATGCATTCCACTCGCATGCAATTCACAGTGAGCGTATGTCTATGTGCGTTACACATGGCTGCAGCTCGTGCAGGCGGCGCTCGTGTACAAGAGTCGATTCTGCAACCTGTCATCTGTACTGTGGTGGGGTAGCACGCTGTCTCAACCCAGATTTAGCGTTGTCCACGGGCAGATAACTGTACCGATGGTCGCGGTCAAGCCACCCATCACGCATTCAGCCGCTGCAAGCGGTGCCTGCAGGTGGCTGCCGGGCGTTGCAGGCTTCTGGGGATTCTGGAAACTTGATCCTCAAAGGTGATGCTCTGCTCCTACGGGTTTGCACCACACAGACGTAAGCAATCTGGAGTCTTGCATTCGTCTTGCCGTAGCCGTATTTGTTGCTCCACATCTCAGGCTATATTCTTGATTCTTTCGATGATGATTCGCCACACAGTAACACAAGGGGCTACAGCGTCATTCTGTTCCTCTCCCTTATCTATTCTTCAATTGACACACACTGCAGCAATTTCGTCCGATCTATCTTGTAGGTGCACGAAGCAAAGCGTGATGAAAATACCCACGGCCTCGTCGCAGATTGCAGCATTGAGCTGCTCCCTACACGCAGGCCCCAAATTCTTGCACCGACAGGAAGCGGGAAAAGCCATCTGGCACGCAATCTAACACACTGCAGGAAAGAAGCCGCTGTGGGAGGGCGCTTGCACACTGCAAAACAGAACGTCCCGCAAACAAAGATCTCCTTCTTCGTCCGAGCAGCCAAAACCCTTTGAGCAACAACTGTTCCCGACACGCCAGCCACAAATTTTCCTGAGAGCCACGACGTCCACACTTGCCTTGCACGGCCAGAGCCCAGGAAGCGGGAGCCATCTGGCACGCAATCTGACACACATTGCAGGAAAGAAGCCGATGTAGGAGGGCGGGCGCAGATCCAAGTAGTTGACGCGGAGCGCGGAAGGTTGATGTGGCATTTCTTTTGGGGCCGCTCCCACGGAAGGAGCCTCACACATGACTGTGCGCTCCTTTCTGGCGTCTGGGTAGGGCTTCATGCGGCTGACGTGGTTGCTTTGCCTTGCACACTGCAAAACAGAATGTCCCGCAAGCAAAGCTCTTCTTCGTCCGAGCAGCCAAGCCCTTTGAGCAACAACTGTTCCCGACACGCCAGCCACAAATTTTCCTGAGAGCCACGACGTCCACACTTGCCTTGCACGGCCAGAGCCCAGGAAGCGGGAGCCATCTGGCACGCAATCTGACACACATTGCAGGAAAGAAGCCGATGTAGGAGGGCGGGCGCAGATCCAAGTAGTTGACGCGGAGCGCGGAAGGTTGATGTGGCATTTCTTTTGGGGCCGCTCCCACGGAAGGAGCCTCACACATGACTGTGCGCTCCTCTCTGGCGTCTGGGTAGGGCTTCATGCGGCTGACGTGGTTGCTTTGCCTTGCACACTGCAAAACGGAACGTCCCGCAAGCAAAGCTCTTCTTCGTCCGAGCAGCCAAGCCCTTTGAGCAACAACTGTTCCCTACACGCCAGCCACAAATTTTCCTGAGAGCCACGACGTCCACACTTGCCTTGCACGGCCAGAGCCCAGGAAGCGGGAGCCATCTGGCACGCAATCTGACACACATTGCAGGAAAGAAGCCGATGTAGGAGGGCGGGCGCAGATCCAAGTAGTTGACGCGGAGCGCGGAAGGTTGATGTGGCATTTCTTTTGGGGCCGCTCCCACGGAAGGAGCCTCACACATGACTGTGCGCTCCTCTCTGGCGTCTAGGGCTTCATGCGGCTGACGTGGTTGCTTTGCCTTGCACACTGCAAAACAGAACGTCCCGCAAGCAAAGCTCTTCTTCGTCCGAGCAGCCAAGCCCTTTGAGCAACAACTGTTCCCTACACGCCAGCCACAAATTTTCCTGAGAGCCACGACGTCCACACTTGCCTTGCACGGCCAGAGCCCAGGAAGCGGGAGCCATCTGGCACGCAATCTGACACACATTGCAGGAAAGAAGCCGATGTAGGAGGGCGGGCGCAGATCCAAGTAGTTGACGCGGAGCGCGGAAGGTTGATGTGGCATTTCTTTTGGGGCCGCTCCCACGGAAGGAGCCTCACACATGACTGTGCGCTCCTCCCTGGCGTCTGGGTAGGGCTTCATGCGGCTGACGTGGTTGCTTTGCCTTGCACACTGCAAAACAGAACGTCCCGCAAGCAAAGCTCTTCTTCGTCCGAGCAGCCAAAAACGAAACTCCTTTGGCGACGCCTTCGGGCAGGTACGTGGCACCCAGTGGATCACCACCGGAGACCTTCGCCATCTAGTTTGTTCTGGCCGAGAGTGGGCCGGGTCGGGGTCGGCAACATTTGGGAACTGCAGCTTGCACGGCCGTTTGTGGGGTGCTCGGTGACTAGTGCCTGCAGAGCGTCACATTCGAAAACTCTTTCCTACATCTGCCTCGACACAGAATTTCTGCCAGCAGAACCGTAAATCCCGTCAAGCCTTCCTGTACGTTCTGCAGGTGTCCCTGCCCTTCACCGCATCTCCTGCTGATCACCTTGGGCTTGTGGCTGGGATGAGTCTTTGGCCAGGAGCATGTTGCGATCATGTGTGCTTTCAGCCTTGTAGCGTGTGCAGAAGCTCTTGATGCCAGCAAGACTTCCCCTGACCACCCACAAAGCCGCAGTCGAACGAGGAAGAGATAAACAAGCGAACGAGAACTCCCATCACAGCATCTCCTGCTGATCACCTTGGGTTTCTGGCTGTGCCTGTGCTCTAGGGGATTTGCGGGTGGGTGTGTGCCGAGTACCACGTTGCGTGTGGTTTCAGCATGTTTCAGCCTTGTAGCGTGTTCGTTCACAACCTGTTGATGCCAGCAAGACCTCCCCTGACCACACACAAAGCCGCAGTCGAACGAGGAAGAGAGCAACGAGCCAACCAGAACGCACCAAGTCTGCATGCACGATGCTGGCAGAGCCTGCTTGCCATCGTTGCAAGGCGTGGTCCCGTTTTGAAAACAGGCTTTGGAAGAAAAGTCAGCCTCCTCAAGGATCCCACTTTCACCTGTGTCCGAATGTACTCTCAAGTTTGTGCACACTGCTGAACTGCTGAACTCTCAGGTCAGAACGGACAGACTTGAGTCCGCAAGCATCGACTGGTGCTGTGCATCCTCTAGGGCTTTTCTTGGGGGGCCCTTCTCATGGCCCTTCCCTGGAAGCTGTGCGACTCTAAAACAAAACGCAGGTGTCCTTGCGCTGGCTTGCGTCTCTTTCTTGCCTACTGCTCCGCACCATGTTGCACCTGAGGCTCATTCCCAGCCTGCTGGGTAACCCCCAAGTTCCTTCAAGTTCCTTCCGTTTTGAAAAGACCTAAGCCCCATTCGGCCCATTCGCAGAGAAGGCTTATCAGGATTCACAACTATGCAATCGGCTTCATTGACACAGTCTTGAGGCGACAGCTGCGGACTGCACTTTCTCGTGCATGCCGCAGGCGATTTTGGATGTTTTCATGGAGAGGAGCTTCTTCACCGCCTGTCCAGGGCAAGTGGTAAAGACCCCTTTGGGAGGACTCA